TCATCCTTTCCTGGGGGCATTGGAACATACCTTTATTATAAATCAAGTGCCCATAAATTTGGAGATCTATTCATAGACTCTCTCTTCTGCTCTGCTTGTCTATCCTTGGACCAATACCACATTGTTTTAATTATAATAGATTTATAGTTAGTCTTGATATCTAGTAAATAAGGCTTCCAGATGCTTTTTCTTCAAGATTGTCTTTGTTATTGTGACTCTTTGATTTCCACATAATTTTTTTTTATTTCCACATAATTTGTTTTTCTTTTCTTTTCTTTTCCTTTCTTGAGATAGGGTCTTGCTCTGTCGCCTAGGCTGGAGTGCAGTGGCGTCATCTTGGCTCACTGCAGCCTCCACCTCCCAAGTTCAAGCAAGTCTCGTGCTTCAACCTCCCTAGTAACTGGAATTACAGGCGTGCACCACCATGCCTGGTTAATTTTTGTGTTTTTAGTAGAGATAGGGTTTTACCATGTTGGCTAAGCTGGTCTCAAACTCCTGGACTTAAGTGATCTGCCTGCCTCGGCTTCCCAAAATGCTGGGATTACCTCCCAAAGTGCTGGCATGAGCCACTGTGCCCAGCCCCATATAAATTTTAGAATTAGTCTGTCAATTTCCATTGGAATATCTACTAAGATTTTGGTTAGGATTGCATTTAATGTATTAAAAAATTAGGGAAAAATTAACACTCAAATTTTACAATTCACTAGCATGATTTTTTCTCCATTTATTCAGATTTTCTTTAATTTTTCTCAGTAATGTTTGCTAGTTTCATGTGTAGAATCTTGAATATCTTTCACTGGATTTATTTCTGGGTATTTAATTTTTTTGATGTTATATCAATAATACTTTAAAATTTCAATTCCAGTTGTTATTGCTCATATATAGAATACAATTAATCATTAAAATACCCTTGTATCTAGTGACCTTGCTAAACTCATTTGTTCATTCTGTCCAGTACTTTTTACTTTCTGCATGCAGAGTCATGTAGTCTCTTAATAATGAACAATTTCATTTTCTCCTTCCCACACTTATGCCTTTTATTTCTTTTCAGTTCAGATCCCAGTATCAAACAGAAGTAATGATAGTGACATTCTTGACTTGGTCCTCATATCAGGGGGATATCTTACAACATTTTATTACTATTATGATGCTTGATGTGGAAGATGTCCAAGCCTGAATAGGGGTGGGAAGAGCATCTGCATAGGATGTAGGAGCCTGAATGGGGTGAGGAGGTCATCTCCATGGAAGGGCGACCCAGGACAGGGTGTCAGAGCCCAGAAAGATGGACAAGGACATCTACATGTTAGGTGGTCTGGGGTGGTATGTTGGTGCACCAAGAGGGAAAGAAAATGTTCATATGTGACACAGGTGTCAGGCCCCAAAGGAGTGAGGAGAGCTTTGACATCAGGGGTGACCTGGCAGAGGGTGTCAGAACCCAAGTGGAGTTAGAAGAACATTTATAGAAATTTTGGGAAGGAGGGAATGTGGTAGTGACAGAATATCGGTAACATGCAAAGGGATTTATATAGTAAGGAAACGGATTGAAGAAAATGGAAACCAAGTTTCTCACTATTGGAGAAAGAAGTTAAAAATATGGGCTAGTCACAGTGGCTCACACCTTAATCCCCATAATCCCAGCACTTTGGGAGGCTGAGGTAGGAGGATCACTTGAGTCCAGGAGTTCAAGAACAGCCTGGGCAACATGGTGAAACCCCATTTTTACAAAAAATAAAAACAAGCTGGGTGGGATGGCAGATGCCTGTAGTTGCAGCTACCTGGGAGGCTGAGGTGGGAAGATGACTTAAGTCCAGGATATCAAGGCTGCAGTGAGCCATGTTCATGCCACTGCACTCCAGCTTGAATAACAGAGAGAACCCCTGTTTCAAAAAAACAAAAAATCCACCCCCACCCACCACCAAAATGGAAAGAGATGAAACTAGAATGAATGCTGGAGTACTGGATTAGAATTAGAGGTATTAGTGTGAACTTAAAGTTTTCAGTATACATAGATGGATAGAGAAGTGTGTGTGTCTGTGTGCGTGTGGAGTATATTTCTTAGGTCTGTCCACTGAGAGGGGCTAGGAACAGCAACACCCCAATAGCAATGAGCATATCTAGCATCGAGATCTTAGTTTCTAAATACCTTTCTTTCCTAACAGGAACCAGGGCTTCTTGGGGAAATGGTTGGTTCTAGGCCTGAAGGAAGGAAAAATTTAAGATAAACCTAGAATACTTTACTGTGCCAGAAAATGAAGAAATGCTGAAAGAATAATATCTATTCTGTCAAAAAGACATAGAAACTAGCTTGAAGGAGCTCCCATTGGCCAAATCTGGGACAATTTGAGCATTGAAATAAAGATAGTAACAGATTATAACACATTAAATAAAATGGGAATCCATGAATCCGTTTGATAAAAATAAATTAATTAATTCAAAATTTTATGAGTAATGGGATATTTATTTAGTTTCCATGCATCTTGCCAAGGGAAAAAGTGTAACTTTACAGTGGAGAAGCTAGCACATACCATCTTCATCAAGTGATCAAGGTTAAAATCACCAATGAAGAGACCTAACAGCTAAGTGCAATGTGGGATCCTGGATTGGTTCAAGGAACTGAAAAATAGCATTAGTGGGACAATTGGTGAAATTGAATAAGATGTGTGGATGATTTAGCCTCCGTATTTCAAAGTCAATTTCTTGTTTTGATCATTAATTACATTGCGGTTGGTAGGAGAAAGTCCTTGCAATGCACTGAATATTTATGTTCCCAAATTCATTTGTTGAAATCCTAACCCCCAAATTGATGATACTAGAAAGTGGGGCCCTTGGGATGTGAGTAAGGTTACAATGAAAAGATAGCTGACTATGAGGAATGGGGCCCTCAGGAGACAAGAAAGCTGCCAGGACCTTGACTTTGGACTTCCCAGCCTCTAGAATTTTGAGAAACAAATTTCTGTTATTTATAAGCCACCCAGTTTATGCTATTATGTTATAGCAGCTTGAATGAACTAAGACATTCTTTGTGGTAGGAAATGCATCTAAAATATTCTTGAATAATGAGGCACCATGTTGGCAACTTATCCTCAAACAGGTTAAGCAAAAATGTTCTTTTTACTGTTTAAAAAAAAAAAAAGGAAAGATATAATTATTCTGGACTTGGGAGAGTGTTTATCTGATGTGCTGGTGCATGAAGCAGAGAGGGCAGCATTACTTCCTGAAGGAATGAAGTCTTACCCAGAATGATGCTTTTACTGTAATCTGTGCAGGCTCCAACTGTGAATTCCTTGAGGGTGGGGCCTATGTTATTTGAAGGTGAAAGAATAGGCTTTGTGGGGACTGAAGGTTGTACATTCAAGAGGGCTCTTCTTAAGAAAGATATTATAAAATTACGAGTATAATATTAGGCAGTAAAATGAATATTTATTTAGTACAAGAAAAGAAATGTCAAATTATAAATTCTATAAAGCTCACAAATATTACAAACATCACAAAATCCAGGAAAAAACCTCTTTTATTGGTTAACTGCTTAGCCTATCCCTCTATAATATTTTTTGGGTTTTCATTTTTTTTGAAGCAGGATCTTGCTCTTTGGCCCAGCCTGGAATGCAGTGGTGCGATAACAGATGACTCCAGCCTCGACCTTCTGGGCTAATGCAATCCTCCTATCTGAGCCTCCTGAGTAGCTAGGGCCGCGGGTGTACACCACCATACCTGGATAATTAAAAAAATTTTTTTGTAGAGACAGGGCCTCACTGTGTTGCTCAGGCTGGGGACTCATGCGATCCTCCTGCCTTGGCCTCCCAAAGTATTGGAATTACAGGCATGAGCCACTGTACCTGGTCTATAACACTTTTTTTAAAAAACACATTTCTTGGCTTCATACTCTGTGATTACGTCTTCATATGATATCAGTTTGATAATATCAGAATCTTGAACTAGAAATACAATTCAGTCTTTCCTCTAGCATGGGCGATCAAAATTTGTTTTTAAAAAATTATTATTCATAGCTTTAAAAAATTTGTTTTGGTTTCAAAAACTCATTGATAATGTTACATAAATGTTTAAGATTGTTATCTAGCTTGGGAAACCACTACCAAGTTTCTTCCATATATGAGCTGTATGACTTAAAGACATAACTCAATATATTCCTGACAAGCAAGAAGTTCCATTTTTGTGTATGAGAACTGAATTCTCCATATACAATTTTACACACCCAATAATTAAAAGACCCTTCCACAGATAAGTGTCTGGCTCCACACGTTTCAAACCTTGTTTGCCTTTCTTACGCAGACACTGCTGGTGCTGGGCATTGTAGGACATATCCATTTTGCAACACAACCTCTTATCCTACATTGCCTCATGATGCTGGGTCAGGTGGCAAAGCGAGTAGGCACTGGTCATATCCCTAGAAGACACTCTCATACCAGTATATCAAGCAATAATTAACTATACATAGGAACATTTGCAGAATATACAACTAGAGCTCACTGTATAGGTTGAATGGTGGCCTCCCAAAAAGATACATTTGTGTCCTAACCTGTAGAACGTGCAAATGTGACCTTACCTGGTAAAATATTTTTGTCAATTTAATTATCTTGAGATATGATCATCCTGGATTTAGAGTGGGACCCTGAATCTAGTGACAGTTGTCTTTAAAAATATTTTTTTAGGCTGGGCGCGGTGGCTCAAGCCTGTAATCTCAGCACTTTGGGAGGCTGAGACGGGTGGATCACGAGGTCAGGAGATCGAGACCACCCTGACTAACATGGTGAAACCCCGTCTCTACTAAAAAATACAAAAAATTAGCTAGGCGTGGTGGCGGGCGCCTGTAGTCCCAGCTGCTCGGGAGGCTGAGGCAGGAGAATGGCGTGAACCTGAGAGGCGGAGCTTGCAGTGAGCTGAGATCCGGCCACTGCACTCCAGCCTGGGCAACAGAGCAAGACTTTGTCTCAAAAATATATATATATATATTTTTTTAATCAAAAAAAAATCTTTTTTAGAGACAGACAAGAAAGCCACAGAGGAGAAGGTGATGTGAAGACAGAAGCAGGGATTGGAGTGATCCATCTACAAGCCAAGAAATACCAATGGTTGCTGCCTACCACCAGGGTCTAGGAGAGTGGCATGGAACAGATTTTCCCTCAGAGCTTCCAGAAAGAACTAACCCTGTCAACACTGTGATTCTGGACTGTGAGAGAGAAATTTCTGTTGTTTTAAACCGTCAAGTTTGTGGTAATTCGTTATGGCAGCCGTAGGAAACTCATCACCTAGTAAATCCAAATTAAATATTATCCCAATTTTTGCTTGATTCCAGAAATGGCTGTAGTGTTTCAACACCCTCTAGCATAACAGAATTGTAACAGGGGAAGCTGGTGTGGAAACAGACAGTAGTCTGAACCAGTTTGGACAAAAATACTGGTCTTGCAAATTTTAGAAAAAGCACACAACCTCTGAACACATGACTAGGGCCCCTTCCAGGACCTTAGGAGGGGCCCGGCCAAGGGAGAGTCCCTGAAGCTTATGCTTAATACATTTTACAGAAGAGCTGCCTCGGTGTAGGAAGCAGTGTAGTGTTACGAAGACAGCCTCTAGAGCCAGACACCCTGGGTTCAAATCCCAATTTTGCAACTATCTAGCTGTTGACTTGAGAGAAGTTACTTAGCCTTTCTGTGCCCCAATTTCTTCCTCCGTAAAATATAAATGGCAGTAGCACTATCTGCCTCATAGGGTTGTTTACCCACTGAAGTAGCATGATACACATAAGGCACATTATATATATAGATATATCTCCATCTCTATCTATCTATCTCACGCACAAAGAACAGTATATGTCCCATGGTATGCACTCAAGATACCTTAACCACTTTATTATTTACTCAACAAGTGTCTTGTTCTCTTCTTTGTGTCCACATGTATTCAGTGTTTAGCTCCCACTTTATTATTATTATTATTATTATTTGAGACGGAGTCTGGCTCTGCGGCCCAGGCCGGAGTGCAGTGGTGCGCAATTTCGGCTCACTGCAAGCTCTGTCTCCCGGGTTCACACTTTTCTCCTGCCTCAGCCTCCCGAGTAGCTGGGACTACAGGCGCCTGCCACCATACCTGGCTAATTTTTTGTAATTTTAGTAGGCATGGGGTTTCACTGTGTTAGCCAGGATGGTCTCGATCTCCTGACCTCGTGATCCACCTGCCTTGGCCTCCCAAAGTGCTGGGATTACAGGCGTGAGCCACCGCACCCAGCCTGGCTCCCACTTATAAGTGAGAATATGTGGCATTTAGCTTTCTATTTCTGTGTATATTCACTTGGGATAATGCTTCCAGCTCCATCCATGTTGCTGCAAAGGACACGATCCCATTCTTTTTATAGCTGCATAGTATTCCATGGTGTATGTGTACTACATTTTCTTTCTCCAGTCCTCTTTTGATGGGCATTTAGGTTGATTCCATGTCTTCGATATTGTGAATAGTGCTGCAATGAACATATGCATGTATGTGTCTTTATAGCAGAACAACTTATATCCTTTGGGTATATGCTCAGTAATGAAATTGCTAGGTCCAATGGTAGCTCTGTTTTAAGTTCTTTGAGAAATCTCTGAACTGCTTTTCAACAGTGGCTGAATTAGTTTACATTCCCACCAGTGTATAAACATTTTCTTTTCTCCACAACATCATCAGCATACGTTATTTTTTTACTTTTTTTAAATTTTTTTTTTGAGATAGAGTCTCACCGTCTCCCAGGCTGGAGTGCCGTGGCATGAACTCGGCTCACTGCAACCTCTGCCTCCCAGGTTCAAGTGATCCTCCCACCTCAGCCTCCCAAGTAGCTGGGACCACAGGCACGTGGCACCACACCTAGCTAAGTTAAAAAAAAATTTTTTTTTTTACAGAGATGGGGTCTCACTGTGTTGCCTAGTCTGGTCTTGAACTCCTCCCACCTCAACCCCCAAAGTGCTGGTATTACAGGCATGAGCCACTGTACCCAGCGACTTTTTAATAGCCATTCTGATGGATGTGAGATGATATTTCATTATGATTTTGATTTGCATTTCTCTAGTGATTAATGATGTTGATTGAACATTTTTTCATATGTTTTTTCCACATGTATGTCTTCTTTTAAGAAGTGTCTGTTCATGTCCTTTGTCCATTTTTAATGGTGTTGTTTGTTTTTGCTTATTGATTTAAGCTCCTTATAGATTCTGGATGTTATACTTTTGTGGATATTTCTCCCATTCTCTAGGTCATCTGTTTACTCTGTTGATAGTTTCTTTTGCTATACAGAAGCTCTTTAGTTTAATTAGGTCCCATTTATCAATTTTTGATGTTGTTACAATTGTTTCTGGTGTCTTCTCATGAAATCTTTTCCAGGGCCTATGTTCAGAGTGGTATTTCCTATGTTTTCTTCTAGAGTTTTTATAGTTTTAGGTTTTACATTTAAGTCTTTAATCCATCTTGAGTTGATGTTTGTATATAGTGAAAGGAAGGGATCCAGTTTCAATTGTGGCTAGTCAGTTATCTCAGCAACATTTATTGATTAGGGAGTCCTTTCCCCATTGCTTTTGTTGACTTTGTTGAAGATTAGACAGTTGTAGGTGTGTGGCTTTATTTTTGGGTTCTTAAGCCTGTTCCATTGGTCTATGTGTCTGTTTTTGTTACCATGCTATTTTGGTTACTGTAACCCTATAGTATAGTTAGAAGTCAGGTAGTATGATGCCTTCAGCTTTGTTCTTTTTATGTAGGATTGCATTGGCTATTTGGTCTCTTTTGGTTCCATATGAATTTTAGAATAATTTTTTTCTAATTCTGTGAAAATGTCCTTGGTAGTTTAATAGGAATAGCATTGAATCTGCAAATTGCTTTGGGCAATATGAGCATTTTAACACTATTGATTCTTCCTGTCCATGAGCATGGAATATTTTTCCATTTGTTTGTGTCATCTCTGATTTCTTTCAGCAGTGTTTTATAACTCTTGTTGGACAGATTTTTCACCTCCTTGGTTAGCTGTATTAATAGGTATTTTTTGTGGTTATTATGAATAGGATTGCATTCATGATTTGGCTCTTAGCTTGACTGTTGTTGGTGTATAGAAATGCTACCAATTTTTGTACATTGACTTTGTATACTGAAACTTTGCTGAAGATGTTTATAGATCTAGGAGCTTTTGGGCAGAGACTATCGGGTTTTCTGGGTATAAAATCATCTGCAAAGAGAGATAGCTTGACTTCCTCTCCTCCTATTTGGATACCTTTTTTCCCTTTCTCTTGACTGATTACTAGGGCTAGGACTTCCAGTACTATGTTGAATAAGATGAAATGTATTTTAAAGAGCAAGTTGGATAGAGGAATAGATATGTGATAAAGCAAATATAGGAAAAGGTTGACTATAGACTTGAGGCGGCAAATAGATGTGTTTTCACTGTACAAATCTCTCAATTTTTCTGTATGTTTGAAAGTTTTCATAATTAAATGTTGGTAAAACAAATATCCACACAAATGAACACTGTGCATCCACTAAAAAATGTTTTAGGCCACATACAGTGGCTCACAACTATAATTCCAGCACTTTGGGAGGCTAAGGTGGGAGGATCGCTTGAGCCCAGAAGTTTGAGACCAGCCTGGGCAACATAGTGAGACCCTGTGTCTACAAAAAAATTTTAAAAATTCACTGGACGTGGTGACGTGCCCCAGTAGTTCCAGTTACTCAGGAGGCTTAAGAGGGAGGATTGTTTGAACTCAGGAGGTGAGGTTGCAGTGAGCCATGATTGTGTCACTGTACTCCAGCCTGGGCAACAGAGTGAGACACTGTCTCAAAAAAAAAAAAAAAAAAAAAAAAAAAGGTTTTAGTAGACTATTCCAAGAGAAAGATTTATTATAAACTGAAAAAAGTAGGATTCAAAACAGTATTACAGTTTAACACTCCTTTATTTATGTGCAGGTGGAAGAATGTACACTGGGAACAGCACATGCAAAAGTCCTGGGCAGAAGCTGGTCTGGAGGATTTGAGGAACTGCAAGGAAGCAGTGATGACTAGAGAGGCGTGAGGGAAGAAAAAGGCAGTAAATGAGGTCATGAAGATGATGGAAGGGGGCAAGGTCGGATTAGCTAGTTTGGTTCTCTATCTCTGCATAAGAAACTATCTCAAGTTTTGTGGTTTAAAACAACCACCTTTTTGTATCTCACAATTGGTGGATCAGGAATTTGGACAAAATTCAACTGGGCATCTTTTTTCTGCTCTACTAGCATCAAATAAGGTCACTCTGATGTTCACTGGCAGATGGGTTGGTCTGTAGGATTCCACGTGGTTTCACTCTCATTTTTAGTGCCTGGGGGAGATAGCTGGAAGGCTGGCCCTCTTCCTCTCCATGTAGTCTCAGGGCCCCGCCGTGTGGTCTGTATTAGTGTAGCTAGGTTTCTTACATGGTGTCTCAAGGTTCCAAGAGCAAGTGATTCGAGAGACAGGAATAGAAGATGCCAGTCCTTCTAAGGCCTGGGCACAAAAACAGACATAGTGGCACTTCTGCCATATTTCTAGTAGAGACGGAGTTTCACCACATTGGCCAGGCTGGTCTTGAACTCCTGACCTCAGGTGACCCACCCGCCTTGGTCTCCCAAAATGCTGGGATTACAGATGTGAGCCACTGTGACTGGCCACTTCTGCCATATTTCATTGGTCAAAGAAGTCATGGAAGGGGAGATAGCAATATACCTTTCAATGGGAAAAGTGTCAAATAATTTGTGACTATCTTTAATCTGCCAATAGGCCCTTGTAGGTCATAGTAAAAACTTAGGCTTTTCCTCTACCAGGGATGGGAGCCATTGGAGGGTGTTAAACAGAGGAGTGACATGATCTGACTTTCATTTTAACAGGACCACTCTACCATTTTGAAAAGGCACTGCAGGTAGGAAAGAAATAGGAGGAAGACCCATTAGGGGGCTATTGCAATAAACCAAGCAAGAGATAATGGTGGCTTGGGCCAGGATGGAGGCAGAGGGGGTAGTGAGCAGTGGTTGAATTCTGGATATATTTTGCAGGCAGAACCATCCAGATTTGCTGATGCATTAAATATGGGTGTGAAATAAAAAGAGGAGTCAAAGATAACTCCAAAACATTCATCTGAGATTTAGTAAACTAGAATTACTGTTAACGGAGATGGGAGCAGCAGCAGGAGCAGTTGGGCAGGGAGTATCAGGAATGGTTTTGGCCATATTGAGATGCCTATAATACATCCAAGTGGAGGTCTCAAGTAGGTCTGGTGTT